ATTGTGAATTTCTCTCAGTTTGTTCTTTCTCTCAACCTTTCAAGTGCATTTGTTGTGAGTCACAATCGAGTTTAGTCTGTAACTCCATTCTCACATATGGTATAACACTCGGCTAACACAATATATATGCTTTCCTCCTCAGTATCTCACATACAAAGGCGTACGCTTAGAAGACAGACTGCCAAGAAGATGTTAGGCTATCAAATCAGATCCATAAAGGATGAAATTCTAAAATTCTATGCCATTGAAGGAAATATTCACTGAACAATGTGGTTTCTTCATTTTTTTTTTTTTAAACTTACATATGTGAATTTCTCAGTATGGCAATTGATGCAATGATATTCCAATCCCCCTGTCATTTGGAAGATCATTGTTATGTATTTAATGATTTGAAAGATTTAATCTATTAACCTACATCCAATTACAAGTAAATCTAGTAAAAAATAAATATTGCTTCAAATCCTGAATGAAACATTCAGCTAGATATATCATCATATATGTATGTGTACAAAACAGAAGGAAGAACGGATAGGTATAAAAATATAATAATTTAAAGAGGAATGGGATGTATAACTTATATCATGCTTGTATCATATACTTCTGGCGTAAATGAATCCACATATAAGCTTGTATTATTTATTAATTAAAAAAGGGGGAAAGTCGCTGCTTGTTCCAAATAAAACCTTACGCTTGTATTCTTTATTAATTAAAAATAAATACTCTTTATTAATTAAAGAAAAAGGAGAAAAATTGCTGCTTGAAGCAAGGAGAACAATTGCTGCTTTCTAGTGGCATTCTCTTCACTATTCAACATCTCAGTATCCAAATTAACACTATTAGTAACATTAACAAATTTAATATCATTAATACCATCTCAACATTAAAGGAACTAACTTTACAAACGAATGAAAAAAAGTAAAAAAAAAATTATATCAAAACTGTTTAATATAGGGATTAAAAATTATATTTTCCCTTTATTTATACATCATCATTTATCAAGAACATGCTCTCTCTTTCTTGTTTTTTTATATAGTTCTCCACTAATAAAAATATGGTTTTTATTTTCATTTTTCTTCCTAAACTTGTCTTAATTTCTCATTTTAAGACTTTTGATTAAAAAAAACCATGTGGATATTTCGAAGAGGTAGATATGTTTTAAAATTTCAAGACATTATGTGCATCTCTTTTATTATCCAATTGGAATGGAATTATATTCATATTAAAAAATAAAATTAATATATATAATACTTATTCAAGATAGTACAAGAGGTCTTGATATTTGAAGTCCCCAGTAAAATTTTGTGATGTTCCAAACTTTTTTTTTTTAAAAAATGTGGATCTTAAAATTTTAAAATCAAAACTAAAAGCATCTTCAAAATTATTTTATAAATTAAAAATGATAGAAATATAACAACAATCTTAATTTTTAAAGAAAATGTCTATAACAATGCAGTCAAATATACACATAAGAGAATAATTAATATTAATATGTCATATATCTTGGCTAATTTTTTTTTTGGGCCAACTGAAAAAAAATTCAATTTTCCTACTATTGACCCTCAAATATTTTAAGCTTATTTGAGTTAGCTCGTCATATTTAACTCAAATTCTCAGCTCTTAGTAGCACAATTTATTTTTAATTTATGATGAGGTTTTATTATCCAATAATCAAAGAGAAGAAATCTCGTGAGAAAAATACAGTAACCGAGTCCCTTTAATAATAACACAATTAAAATTGACTTAAATTAAAGTAAAATAAATAATTAAAATTGGGAGGGAGCATAGACTACTGGAACATAATTTATCTTCATATTATAGGATTGTACCTGCAAATAAAATGTCTAAGAGAAATCTTAATTGAAAAAAAAAGTAGAGTAACCGAATTCCTCTAACAAGTCACTGTAAAAATTGTCTTAAAATCGAATAAACTATCACACACACACACACGCACGCACGCACGCACATACTACTGACGTATTTTTCAGTTTACCATCAACAAAACTAACCATTAATATATTCTAATTCTATATATTATATATTCACAAAATAAAATAATCAATAAATTTATTAAAATTTAAATTTGAGTTCAATATTATTAAATTAATTTAACAAATATTTATGTAATTTAAAATCAATTAAAGCATGGAATATGAGTTGATTATTTTTCGGATTTTATAAATTGAAGGAGAAATTAAAATTGAAGGAAAAATCAATGGTATGTCTGGAATTTGATATTTGGAAGGATAATCAGATATTACTGTAAAAATAATGATTATCGTATATCCTTGAAATAGTTTCACCATAAATTAAGTTAAATAATTTCATCATGAATTATTGCAAGAAGTCATGATATATTGCAAAATCATTGTCATTATGTAAATGATATTGCAATAACTCCGCAAAATATATCTTCGTCTGATGTTATATATAGATAATAGATGAGTCATAGATAATTTATAATAATTTATATTTTAAATTGGTTACAGTGATTATATTTTCGAATGTTTCATGCGTACATACATAATTTGGAATTGAAAATTTCTGTATTTGCATTGAGAATTTGATTCCCTGACTAGTTGGGAAAAATCTGATTCTCTGTAAACGATTAAGGAAACATATCATACCATTAATTAGATCATTACCACTTTTTATATATATATATATATCTTTTCCATTCGCTTGGTGAAATATTTATTTAAGTGTCATATCTTTTAATGAAATTATTTAATTTTTATATTCCTTTGTTAAAATTTTTAATTTTTTCCAATAAAAATTTTAAATTGTTACTTTAAATTTGTGATTTTTTTTAATTTCAATTGTTATTTTAAAACATGATTAAATGACTAAGTGGACTTGTAATTTAAAAAAAAAAATTGCAAAGAGAAAATAGCTTTTACTCCCGTACGCACACCGCACGTACTTCAGAAATCAGGTCCCTTCGGGACATCCGATGAAGTTCAGAAATCAGAACCTCTTGTTAAAATTGTTTCAAATTTATGAAAAGGTAAATTAATTATTCAAAAAAATATAGAATAATACTAGCCAATAATAAATAATAAATAACCATGATTCAAATTAGCAATACTGACTTATTCTTTATATATATATATATATATATATAATATGCATTTAAAACGTAAGAGAAGATTCTACCAAAAAAAAAAAAACATAACAGAAGATTGTTAATTAGTATAGAAGCAAAATTATTCACATGAAATTTATCTACCAAATCTTCAATCATAAAAAATTGTAATGAATATAAGATATTTACCGTATGATCTTTTAAGTAATAAGCTGATTAAAATATACACAAATTTTTTTATTAATATAGTTGTATATGATTTCTCTCATATTTAAATATTTAAAATTAACCTTCTCAATCTTTTATTTTTTTTTTCAAAATCCCCTATTGCTAATGAATATATTATTTTATTAACAAAGTTTTTTCATATCATATTAATGAGATACACCTGGCACCTAATATGGAAAAATATTTTAGGCTAACATAAACACTTAATCTTTTAACTTTACATAAAATTTATTTTAGTTCCTTAACTTTATAAAGTATTTTTTAATCTTTAACCCTAGTACGTTAGTTTTATCCCAACAAATTTTACATTGAACTTTTAAATATTGACAAAAAATTTTTAAATGTTAAAATATTACATTTAATTTTTTTAAATAATAATGATTGACATAAAAATAATCATTTGAAACTAATGATGTTAGGGTTAAATAATTAAAAAAATATTTTATAAAATTAAGGGATCAAGTTAAACCTTTATAAAAAGTTAGAAAACTAAAAGTGTACTTTAGCCAATATTTTAATTATTTTTTCCCAATTTAAGGAAAAATCAAATGAATAAAAATGTATCTTTTAAAACAAGAAAAATATGCACAGAGAAAATATAGATAAAATCTTTATAAAATTATTATTAACTTACATAGGATAACACATAAGTTGTTACGTGTCTTTTTTTTTATATATATATATGATATGACAACTTGTGTTTGTAAGATAACTAAGAAATAATGATAGGAGATTTTGTGATAAAAAAAATAAAATGTTAGGGATATTAATTTTAAATAGATTAATAAGCATCTTAAATTTTAAATTATTACACGAATAACATTATAGATCCTAAAATCTTGAAATGTGTAAAAACTTTCCTTAACTTTTAAATTTCAAACATTTGAAACTTTACTATTAAGTTGAAAAAAATAACCATTACTTTTATAGTTGTTATAGTTGTGGAGCCAAATCCTACATTGAAGTGATATTTATTTTGACCCTTAAAATAATGGTCATTTTCTCCAAATAGTTGAGTTTTAGGTGCTCAAAAAAAATAAAATGTTAGGGATATTAATTTTAAATGAGTTAACGAGCATCTTAATCCTAAATTATTGCATGAATATTATTTTGGATTTTAAACTTCTGAAATGTGTAAAAAAAATTTTTAACTTTTAAATTTTAAGCACTTGAAATTTTATTGTTAAGTTGAAAAGAATAGCCATTACTTTTGTAGTTTTATGAAGTAATACTCATTTTGACTTTTAAAAATAATGGCCGTTTTCTCCAACTTAAAATTTGGGTTTCAGGTGCTTAAAATTTAAAAGTTGAGAAAGTTTTTTTATATTTTAAGAGTTCAGGAATTAAAATATTATTTGTGTAATAATTTAATGTCTAGAATTTTCATTAACCTATTTTAAATTTTTAAAAGTTACAAGGATTTTGTGCAGCTGACCAAAATTTGAGGGAAGTTTTGCATATTTTAACCTAAAATATGTTACATCCTCATGGTCCCGAATGTGGCTGCGCCACTGATTATTATATGCCGTAGGTTGTTCCTTTTTTGAAGGTTGGGAAGTCGGCAGTTTGTTTCCTTGTTGCAGATGTGCAGTATGCATGCTCTTTTGTTCTTGTTATTGGATAAATGTTTTTTATTTTTTTAAGTTTTGCTTCAATTTTGGACTCTGATTGGCTATGTGCCTTGTTGTAGTATCAAAGGGGTTTGGTTTGATTTCTGCCATTAAAACTCTGGTTCTGAGCTTCAGAAGAAGAAGAAGAAGAAGCCACCATGGACAACAACAACAAGATGGTGGGGATGAGCGCTTCAACAGATTCACGACATGCTCTGCTTTGTTTGCCATGGCTTTCTCTTTACTGCTCATAATTACGTTATTAATGTATCAGAACTCTACGTTCTATCTTTCTGATTCTGAGGGCTTCTCAAAAGACAACATCCTAGGAAGAAGACGACCTTATAACGTCAGCACCAAGGACTTAGGATTGACAGCAAGAGCAACCAATACATCAGATATTAATGGAACCTCCTCAGAGGTACTTACAATTCCTATTTTCTTCTTCTTTTTTCTCTCACGATTTGATCCAAGCTCACACTCTTTAGTCTTTATCCTTAATGACCTTGGAAAAGTCAAGGTTTTCCCAGGAAATTCTCAATATTACAAAACAGAAGATAGAGCTCAGAATCTTACGGAGTCAAATGAAGGTACTGACTTTGTTACAAAAAAAAAAAATAAAAAAAAATTAATTATTTAATTCTTATATTTTAATTCAATTGTAATTCGTTTCCTTAATTTGAACTTGGAAAAATTTAATACTTATAATTCAACTCAATTATAACTTTGTTCTTAAACATTAACTCAAAGCAACTTGTAATTTTAGTTATTTAAAACATTAGTTCTTAAACTTTAATAATAACTTTATTCTTCACAATTTTATTTTATAAAATGTAAGATCCAACATTTTAATATAGAGATAAAACTACAGGGATTTAATGGAACAAAAATTATTAAGAATTTAGTTACAATGAATTAAAGTTCAAGAATTAAGTTTATTTAATAAAGTCAAAAGTATAGAATTAAATGATTGATTTTCTAATTTTTTTGGTAGTCAGAGTTTTCATCCTCTACTTGCTAACTCTTTAATAATTTCTTCAAAATTGATAGGAGTGGAAATTTCTTCATGCTCAAGATTCACAAACGATTCAATCTCAACTGTAAAAAATGTCACTCTGCAACTTATGATGGGCTTCTAGCTTCTGGTTTTGATGAACCATCTTGCATAAGCAGGTTTCAGTCTCACTTGTATCGAAAATCTTCTCCACACAAACCCTCTTCATATCTCATTTCCAAACTACGCAATTATGAAGAAATTCACAGAAAATGTGGACCTGGGACCAGATATTACTACAAAACCATGAAAAAGCTTGTGAGGTCTAAGAAAAACAACGTTGATACCACATGTAAGTACCTTGTCTGGACACCTGCAAATGGCTTAGGTAACAGAATCATAAGCATGGCTGCTTCATTTGTTTATGCTGTACTCACAGACAGAGTCCTGCTTGTGAAATTTGAAGATGACATGATGGGTCTGTTTTGTGAGCCATTTCTGAATTCAACTTGGGTATTTCCAAAGATTCTCCTTTTTGGAATCCAAGACGTGTTGAAACATATGAAAACATGTTGGCTAAGAACAATTCACCATCAGTTCTACATCTGAATCTCCAACACACCAGAGATGGTCCTGAGAAGTTTTTCCACTGTGATCATAATCAAAAGCTTGTTCAAAAAGTCCCCCTTTTGATTGTGCGAACAGACCAGTATTTTGTCCCTTCTCTGTTCATAATCCCATCCTTTAACCTTGAGATCACACAAATGTTTCCAGAGAGAGACAGTGTTTCACCATGTAGGAAATTACCTTTTCACCCCTCAAATGAGGCTTGGGGACAAATAAGCAGATTCTATGATGCATACTTAGCAAAAGCAGATGAGAAAATTGGCCTTCAAATTAGACTGTTCACTCTGATTCCACCCCACATGAAGCAGTTATGGACCTACTCTTAAGTTGCACCCTGCAGCACAAGTTGCTCCCGCAAGTAGACAAGAAAAATTCGGCAGCTTCAACTTCGACCCATGAAGACGCAATTTTAAATGTTGCTCTAGTTGCATCTCTATTTCCTGAATTTGGTGAGAAATTGAGAATTATGCATTTGACGGAACCAACCATTACAGGAGAAGTGGTAGGAGTAGATCAACCAAGTCATGAAGGGTATCAAAAGTTTCGTAACAATTTGCATAACATGAAGGCATGGATTGATATGTACCTTTGAGTCTTTGTGATGTGTTGGTGACTACCTCTGCGTCTACTTTTGGGTATGTGGCTCAAGGTTTGGGAGGAATGAAGCCATGGCTTCTTCATAGGCTAGTTGGAAATAGGACCCTTCATCCTAATCCACCTTGTCAAAGGGACTTCTCTATGGAGCCTTGTTATCACATTCCTCCTAAGCACAATTGTGAAGGAAAGGCTATCAGAGATTTAGTTCCTCTTTCCCTTGCTTGAGGTTTGTGTTTGGATTATTCCTCTGGAGTAAAGTCGGTTAATGTTTCTGTGTGGTTAGTTAGTTATGACTATTCAACAAAACCTTTTGCTGTGCTCATTTTATCTAAGTTGGACCTCGTCTATATATATATATATATATATTGCATGGCTAAGTTTTTTACTCGTGGATTCTTTTTTTTTTCCCCACCATTTTGGATAAAAAATATTTAGGAGAGTTGAGTTTTGAAAATACACTGCAGTCATAACATGTCTCCAGCTCATGAGTGCTTACAAATCATTTAACAACAATGTTCTTATATTACCTTATGGGGCACATCCTTACTAACTTAGAGTCCATTTGAGTAATTTATTTTTGATGTTTAGAAGATACTTTTGCAACTTTCTAATAGCCAAAAGTGTTTGGATACAAAATTTGGGTACAAATCACGTTCAAAAGTCTATTTGAAAAGCCTCTGAAAGTGGATTTGCTCAGCGTAAAATATTTGTTGATTTTAAAACTAACTTTGGGTGTTGAGCATTTAATGATGGAGTTAAGATATGTACACCAACTTTTGATTTTACCATGCCACCTCTAATGTTAGTTGCTTTTATTCATGCATGTTTAATTATTTATATATTTTTTATCCAATATATCAAATTTTATATTTTTATATTTTTATTAACATATCAAATTTTAATGTTATATAAAATATTTTTATTGGTAATTAAGAATACACTTAATATGATATTCTTGGAATATTATCTCTCTTTATATGTACGTCTTCTTCTTGAAGAGAATTCTATTTTAAATATAATTGGGTATAAACATGAATGCATCTCCTACAAAATTAGAACATTATTTTAGTTATGTAATGAGCTAGCTCATTCCTCTAAACTCAACAATGTTGATAAATGATCACTTCTTTTCTTATTATAATCTTAGCATCTCTTAGATTTTGGACGCCCTTAAACTTTGTTTAGAAATTATAATTTTTACTTGAGATGTTAGTTTTCTTATCAATGCAAATCAAATACATATTTATTAATTTTTAATGTGATTTTATTGAACGCAGGTTACGCATTCAGGTCGTTAACAAAAAGTCAAATCCAGCGAAGCGTCTGAGCAGATTTCACCGTTCATGACAATTGGCTGAATTCTTGTTTAATTTATTATATTTTACACCAATCACAAAATCCACTTGTATAAACTCTTAAATGGTCTATTTAATATAAAAAAATTTATATACTTAATTTTATATATATAAGCTTGTTTTTAATTAAATTAAGATATTTAAATTTTGTATAAATTATTTTATTTTATAATAAATTCTTATCATTAATTTTATTAAAATATTAAGATTCACTTATTATAATTGGATTGGATATATATACATATATATAAAGTATATAACGCTAAGGACATAAATTTAACCTTTCAAAATAAACACTTCATAGTCAGTAATATAATAAACCTAAGTATTTTATTGTATGAAACAAGAATCGTAGTTCCATGAAAGATGGAATAATAAAGAAAAAGCAACTCATAATAAAAATCCCTCCATTTTAACATATAGAGTCTAGAAATAGGTGGACTTGACTTATATGAGCTCAAACTTAGGAGCTTAGTTATTTCAATATCAATTATTTTGTAAACCTAAATCTTATTGATTAGGTTCAAAGTTGTTTGGTTGATATGATAGCCTGCTTTTCAAATTTTCTTAATTTTTTAAAATTAATTTGTCATTATTATATTATATTCATGCTTTAAAGTACAAATTAAAATCTTCTAAAATTTAAAATGATACAAATTATAATTTTAAAAGCGCAAAAACATATAAGTATAAATTTAATCCAAACATAGTTTTGGCCAAAAAAAAATCCAAACAAAATAAATACCATTATTTCAAGGTTAAAATAAATTTGGGTTAGATGAAAGTAGTCCGAATCCAAACCTTTTTTTTAGGGCTTAAAAGAGTAGGGCTTTTGCCCGTATATATAAAAATATCCTAATTTTTAAAGCCTAAGTTTGAAAAAAAAGAGAGGCTTAAACGGGTAGCTCGATGAGCTTGTCCCATATTTCTAGTTCAAACATACTAATGTAGTTAATTAAATATACTTTTATGATCTTAATTTTTTTATGAACTTTCAAAACTACCTTTCATTATAAGAGAGAGAGGAAAATAATTTTATTTAAGGAATGAAATGCAAAGAAAATAATATGATGGTTTTATGTTGGTTATAGGGACAATGGCAAATGAGGACCTTATAAGAACATTAATGTTAAATATAAAATTTTTTAACATTGATAGTTCCCAAATTTTAAATACCACTTCTACCATGTTTCACAGTACTAAATTTTTAATTTAATATTAATATTCTTACAAGGTTCTTATTTATCATTCTCCCTTGATTATATGCAATAATGACTATTAGGTTGTTTTTTTTTAACCAGAAAGGATGCATTGCGTAAAAAAAGTTTAAAAAAAAAGGCAAACTCTAAGTAAAAACAATCAACAACAGGAAGCAAAAACTGAAGACACTAAAAAAACATTAAACTAAAGCCAAAGTCAAATCAACCTACTCGCTAAATGGACACCCACCAAAATCTGGCTGGATTAGATTAGATATAGATGGTTCTATCTTCAACAATAGAGCTGCTTCTTATGCTGGACTCATCCGTGATGACCAAGGTAATTGGATAAAAGGATTTACTAAAAAGCTTGGTTATCACCCTAGCACAGTTGCAGAACTTTTTTGGTGCACTTGAAGGTCTTATTCTTTGCTGGAGAAGCAATTTCACAAGCAAGTTAGTGTTCACTCTAATTCATTAGAAGATCTAGCGCTTATTCAATCTGAATACAATCCAATCATCTTCTCAGTTCTGCAATAGAAGAGATTAGATGCCTCGCCATGAAGGATTGGGTTATCACCTTCAACCATGCATTTAGAGAATTTAATAAATATGTAGATTGGCTTGCTTGACATACCACAAGGAATAATTCTGATACTTTAATTTTAACATTCCCCCTCAGGATGTTGTCTTTTTATGGGACTTAACTTGACTTAATTCCTTTCCTTTACACGGCTTGCCGTGGCCTTGTAATTCAATAAAAAAAAAGTCAAATCAATCTATTCGTTCTCGATTTGCCTCATTGAACAAATTTTTTATATGATATTTTATTTTTTCAGCAAAATAATAATTTTCAGAAGTATTTAATGATATTTTTAATTATTCTGTATTAAATGAAAATATTATTATATTAGGGGAAAATAAAGGGTTAATTAAAATATTATTTTAGTTCAAAATTTTTAATTTTAAATATAATTATTAGAATTAATTATTTTTTTTAAATTGTATGAGTTGGTTAAAATTTATTTTTATTTAAAAACTAAGGGAGTAGCTATTAGCCATATGTTATTTTATATCTACTATTGTTTTAATTATTGTGGAGGGAAATTTGACCACTGTATTGTAGAAAAAAAATTACCAATATGCTACGCTGTTAAAACTGTTTCCCTGAATATTACTTCTCCTCCGTTAAAAAATATGAAATATTTTTATTTTTTTAAGATGTATCATTATTTTTTTTAAAAGTACCTCTATTAAATAAATCACTTTATATATATATATATATATATATTTCAAGGTATAATATTCTATTAATAGGGATAAAATATAAAAAAATAATGTTTATTTAAGATAAGTAACTATTTTATTTGGAAATGATATTTAGTTAAAAATACCTTATATTTTTTTAATAGAGGAAGTATAAATTTAAAACTTGATTTCAATCAAACAGAGTTTTAAATTTTTTTAAACATAAAAGTACAAAACTCACTCTCTATTAGACCGAGTTCAATACTTGTGCTTTTTTTTAAAAAAAAAATTGATGTGACAGACATGCTAGGTTATTTCTATTGCCTATCACCACCCCACCTTAATAATGATTGCACTCTATAGTTTTTAGAGATGGAAAATAGGCAAGTCTGGCTCATATGGACTACACCCCTCAAGAATTCAAGCTATAAGCTAGAGATGACTACTCCATAACTATCATTTTTTGAAACCCAACTTTTATTCAAAGAGCCCAAAATTGAGCCTATAAGCCAGCTATTATTATTTTTATTTTTTAAAAATTAAAATATTTCATATTTTTTAAAAATACAAGGTATAATATTCATCAAAATAAAACAGGTATAAAAGGGCCACCTAATTATAGATCCTTTTTAGGACTTATCAGGCTCAGGCTTCAAACCCAAACTTGTATAAAAATGTTTAAATAACGGTTCGTCAAGTTTAACTCTTACTCACAACTCTAATAGGTTTCCTCCCTCACTGTGGGTTGCTCCTCCCTTCTCTTGCGTGGACTGAGTTCCCTTTAAATGAAGGAAAGGAAACCTATTATAGTTAGGAATAACGATAAGAGCACCTCTCCTTCCTCTTGTGTGGACCAAGTTCTCTTCAGAATGAAGGAAAGGAAACCTATTAAAGTCAAGAATAAAAGCCAAACTTGGCAGGCCATCATTTACACTCATTTTTTATAAAGGTTTTAGCTTGAAAAATTACATTTTTATAAGAAAATTGAATTTTGAAGCATCCAAGGTTAGGGTGGCCCTTTTGGCTCATTTTGTTATTTTGGTGAGTGAACATTAAACTTGTATTTTTAAAAAATAAAATATTATAATAGAAATTTTAATTTTTAAAAATTAAAAATTAAAAATAATAAAAGCGGGCTTATGAGCTTGGTTTTGAGCCATTTAAATAAAGTGGTTTTATAAAATGATAGATTATGGGATAATCAAACTTATGGTCTTGAGCTATTGAGGGTCAAGCCTATATGAGCCAGATTGGTTTATTTCTCATATCTAGAAACTATGGAGTGCAATAATCTATTAGGGGGAATAGTGGTAAACAATACTATAAGGTATGACATGCTATGGACTATAGGGTGTGACAGGCTATGGATTATAAGGTGTGACACCATAGCCTGTCATGCTTGTCACATCAAGTTTTTTAATAA